AATCAGGACATAATAACTTGGTAGATTTCAATGCGAACAAAACACAAGCATGCCCTTTCTCCAGAATAGGCGATCTCACTGTGCCCAACATATGTTTGTCAAGAGTAACCACACCTTTGCTCATAGTATCACTATCAACAATAGCCTTACTTGTGAAAATCACGTGAGATCAATTGCTAAAAGTGCATCCCAAGAACTTGGTCATCTGATTCGGGCTAGGAGCTATTTAACTTCCAGTCAGCTGCTTATGATCCACAGGGTGGCCCACTTATGCTCACTCGGACCATAGCTGCTAGGCTGATAGAGATAGAAGAATAAATTCCATCGGAAGTTATCGGAGACTTCATAAGCTACTCTTCAAAATTATTCTCTAGTATACAGGGTGCACCATGAATCCGGGGTGAAAGAATCGATCTTTTTTTTAAATGGCACACCCTGTATATTATTCCATTTTCGAAATCTCTCTCATGTGGGCTTCACAAACCTATTTTGTTTCTGGAGATCAGATGCGACGTTGTCAAGTTAATAACATTTTAATCAAATTTGACGAGAAAACAGGAATGTTGAAAAATATTCAGGAAACTATATTTTCGAAGATTTATGAACGAAACTGGGTATGCAGATACCAAAAGTATGTGTAGAAACTCAGACATTATTTGGGTTCACTCAAAATATACAGGGTGTTTTAAAATAAGGACCAAATTTCGCTATTTCCAAATCGCCGAAACTCATTTTTTTTAAATGGATCATCCTGTATATTATTTCATAATCTGAAAGCCCATCTGATTAGCTTTTTGATGATACCATATAGACCGTACCCAATGATACTCTTCGATAGGTCAATAACGATAAATGAATTCAACTGTACATTTTTATTCAAAAACAATAGCAAACATAGAGAAAATTCAACTGACAATGACAAGTGCTCAAACTCATGGAACATATCAGTTCATGAGATGTTCAAAATGTCTTCCATTCTGCTGAATACATTTTTGAGCTCGATGTTTAATCGAATTCCTTACTTTTGACAACATTTCTGGTGTTATATTTGCAAAAATTCTTCTCATCTTCATGTTTTATTTCCTTGTTATTGGTTTCGAATACACTTTATCCTTAACATAGCCCCATAAGAAGAAATCGCAAGGGGTCAAGTCTGGCGACCTTGCAGGCCAGTGTATTGGACCTCCTCTACCAATCCACCTATCTTGAAAGCGCTCATTCAACCACTGGCGAACTGGTGCTACAAAATGTACTGATGCACCGTCTAGTTGAGACCACATATTATTCAACACATTTTGTGGTACAGGTTGAAGCATCGCTCTCGAATGATTTTCTAGAAATCCTAAAACTACTACTCCATTCACCACACCATCAATAAAGAAGGGGCCGATGACGTAATTATCAATAATACCTCCCCAAACATTCGGAGACCATCATTCTTGGGAAGTGCTTCTGAATTCGGATTTTGATCCGAATAATGATGATAGTTATGACGATTCACCGCCCCATTCTTGTGAAATGTAGATTCATCAATGTATCCAGCAGAATGGGAGACATTTTGAACATCTCATGAACTGATATGTTCCATGAGTTTGAGCACTTGCCATTGTCAGTTGAATTTTCTCTATGTTTGTTATTGTTTTTGAATAAAAATGTACAGTTGAATTGATTTATCGTTATTTACCTATCGAAGAGTATTGTTGGATACGGTCTTTATGGTATCACCAAAAAGCTTATTGGATGGGCTTTCAGATTATGGAATAATTTACAGGGTGATCCATTTGAAAAAAAAATGAGTTTCGGCGATTTGGAAATAGCGAAATTCGGTCCTTATTTTAAAACACCCTGTATATTTTGAGTGAACTTAAATGATGTCTGAGTTTTTACACATACTTTAAGTATCTGCATACCCAGTTTTGTGCATAAATCTCCTAAAATATAGTTTCCCTGAATATTTTTCAACATTCATGTTTTCTCGTCAAATTTGATTAAAATGTTAATAACTTGACAACGTCGCATCTGATCTTCAAAAACAAAATAGGTTTGTGAAGTCCACATGAGAGAAATTCCAAAAATGGAATAATATACAGGGTGTGCCATTTAAAAAAACGATCGATTCTTTCACCCCGGATTCATGGTGCACCCTGTATACAAGAAAATAATTTTGAAGAGTAGCTTATGAAGTCTCCAATTACTTCCGATAAAATTTATTTTTTCATCCTTATCAGCCTAGCAGCTATGGCTCGAGCGAGCATAAGTGAGCCACCCTGTATAAGGCACAGATTCGACCTGTACTGTAATACTGTTCTCATATTTGGAGTGCAGCACCCAAACATACCCTGAAACTGTTGGATCCTATCCAAAAGAGGGCAATTCGTCTCGTGGGTGATGCCTTGTTCACAAACTCACTCACTTCTCTGGAACATTGTGTAGAACTTGGCGATCTGGCTCTATTTCATAGATATTTCCATAAACGATGCTCTTCCGAATCATCAACAATTGTTTCTTCTTTGGCAGTCCCCACGAGATCAACTCGTCGAGTTGAGGCTCCGCACCCCTTCGTCGTCACTTTGGAGACCTGCAGAACATCTCTTTCGAAGACTCGTTCTAGGTGTTCCTCGAGGCATATAACCTCCAGAAATCCAAGAAAAACACCGATTTCTTCCTCAGGACATCCCTCTTCGTGGGAATCAGAACACAAAAAAACACTCCGAAACAACGTGGCCGTGATCATTTATTATAACTTGTATCAAAAATATTCGCGGCCACATTTCGATAGGCAGCCTGGTAGAAATATATTCCCATATTCATGAATATACAGGGTGTTTCAAAAAAACTTAACCGGTAGGTAAAACTTTGCAAAATAAGTTGGGTTTGCTCAGTGAAAAATCGAAATATCTCGGAAACGGAACAAAGTATCGAGTTTCACCAAGAGTACCTTTTTGGTGTGAAATTGAATGTTGTTCAAGTTCACATCAAATTTGGATCGAAAAATCCACCCTCAAAGTAGTTATGTTCAAAACTACTCGGTACGAACTGTGCAAGTAGCGCCCTCCATGAGAGTCAGATTTAAAAACAAATGCATGCGATGTGTCAGATTCCAAGAAACATCCATACAAAATTCCATCACAATGTTGCCAGTAGTTTCAACATAATCGTAAAAAATGTGTAAAAAAAATATTGTTTCAACACCTTGTATCTTGAAAACGGATGGCGTTACGACATTTTTTTACTGAGCAAACCCAACTCATTTCGCAATGGTGGGTTAGGTTTTTTTGAATCACCCTGTATAAATATAGAATTTTATCATCATTCAATAACATGATGAACGTTGTGACCTTGCAGTCAGATCATCTACTTTGATATACACATGATCAACTCCCCTTCTTCATCGCTGACGAAGTTAATATCAACCATAAATCAATTCCATTAGACTCAATTAACAATTTTGAACTCACAAAGTATAACACTTCGAATACTCTCTTTATTGAACCGAATGAACAGAACTCTCCTCCTCGATTTTCAAAAGCAGATATAATTAATGAGAGATAATCAAGAGAACCAAACTTTCACATGGTTTGAAGTGGAATCATTACACTATGGTTTATGCAAACTGGCATCAGGAATATTTTTTTTATGAGAAGTCCTCCGAATAACATAAATCATAACGCCACCATGGGACATTTTCAGAATTTCTCCCCAATTTGCATTCAGTTGGAGAGTAGGTATTGGATTCAATTCATTACTCTCCTCCAGGAAATCCTGAACAATCAATGGAGAGAACTGTTACGGTCGAATAACAATAGCAGAATATACTGAGTGAAAATTAGATTGGAAACCACCCATCTTAGGAAAGAACTCCACAAACGCATATTGAAATAGTTCTCCATTTGATAATTCTGATACGAGATATCCATAATGTCTATTCGATCCTCATTATTCATATTGAACTCACAATTCGTAATATTTTTAAAAATTCATCTCCAATTGCTATACAAAATTATATCGATGATTCTTTCCAACTGATTTCCATTATTCATGGTTACTTAGTATTCTTGTTAATTATATATAAAGGTCACCCATGATGGTGTGGAATGGGAGTAACTGAATTGTTAAAACATGAGATTGCTAATTGTAGCTTCCATATATAATTTGAATAACACCTATTTGTTACGCTTCTACTCACTATGTAGATTATATGCTATAGTGATTTATCTTTCTCTCATGAAATTTCACACAAAATGAAAACAGTGTTTATATTTGGATCTGGAGAAAAGTCTCAAGAAATGATTAACTTTTAATTCAATCATTATGCTCCATTCAATTGCGAATTAGGGAAATATCCTAGAAACGTCTTGGGGTGGAGGTCAAATTTTAATTTTTTTTTTTGCAATTGCATACCTCATTGGTCCCAGCACTGGGGCCAAACGCCCCATAAGTCGAAACTTGTGCGGGGTTAGGTATACATATACAAACACAAACATCCATGGCCTAACTAGGATTCGAACCTATGTCTCGGTGAGACTATTATTCCATCAAAAATAACCACCAACATTGCATCGTCTTGTTGATAACCTCTCATTTTTGTACAAGTCGATGAAATACCACATCTCATACTGAAATTATATTTTGATGACTGCATTCAGTGCAATTATCAATCACTATGACAACACGATCGACTTTGGCAACTTCAGATTTTTTTTCGGATATTCCTCATAATTTCATGACAAATTTCTCAAGCTCGTTGCATTGTAACAGCCCTCAGCCTTCGGTTTCGAGCTGGTACTAAGAGATAAGCTTCCGACTGTCATAACATCATCTCCTCTATTATCAATGTCTTCAGAGGTCCTAGGGATAATTATAACTACTGATAACCTAAAGTAGAGAAGAGTCAAACTAAATATTGCGAGCTGTAGTGGCTAATGTAGTCGAAAATACAGTGAACATTCTGTTTTCCAAAATTACCGAACAATTAATTATCACAGTCTATGTATACTCACAATTCTGGAAGAGTAATTTCCTGTATGATTTTTTGTGGTATAGCTTCTTCTGAATCGATGTATTTATCATAGTCCAGCCAGTCTCTATTATTATCATCTGCTTTATTGGTCACAGACATCTCTTCTTTGATTTTTTGTTTTGGTAGGTGACTTTTAGTTTTCAACATTTTCATCTCTATTTTCATTTCTTGAAGTTGACTGGTTTGATCTTGAATTATATTCTCCAGCTTCTTTATTTCCTTCGAATATTCCATGTGGATTTCTAGGATTCTATCGATTTGTTCTTTCTTTTTTGGTTGTAAATTGATCACCTTGACGAGATCATTTTTTTCTTTACTCATCACTTGAAGGAGTTCAAGTCGTTTCGTATTATCTTTTATAGTTTTTGTCAACTCCGCCTGAGCATTCAAAATTTTTTCCTGAAGCATATAGAATGAATTAATGATGTCTATCGCAACTACAGAATTGATGAAACTGACAAAGATGACAGGAATGAGAACCAGGCAAGCGGTCAGGTATTGCATCCAAGCAATCACTATAGCACCTAAGTATCGAAAAACAATAATTGATGAAAAAATTGATTATTGACAAACAACGAATAGGATTGAAAATTGTTTATCGACCACCCCGGTCGAATGTTGATGGGTGCATTAGTGATTTGAGTGAAATATTAGAACGAATTTACCTAGAGGTGAATTTCATTGTGATGTTGGGTGATATTAATATGACCACAATTTATTCAGAAAAACATGGTTTGCGAATTCATCCGAATAAAACCGTTGCACTTTGCCTAGGTTCTTGAAGACAGTTATCACATATTAAAGAATTTGACCTCAAAATAAGTAATACCAATATCGAATGGGTCGCCTCATCGAAATACCTTGGCTTGATCATCGACGAAAACTTGAGTTTTCATAACCATGTACAACACTTCTTCAAAATATCATTTTTCAAATTGAAATCACTTTATAAATTCAAATATCAATTATTATCAACAGAGATAAAATTGAGATTAGTCAAATCACTCATTTATCCCCATATAGAATATTGCTCTTCAGTGTATTACAATTTTTCACCCCAAACAAACTGAAACTTCAACGCATTCAATGTATGCGTTTTGTTTGCTGCATACCCCATATAGGGAGCATATAAGTCCTCATCTGAGAGGATAAAACGAATTGAATGAGGATTGTAGAATACAATACCTGCTAACGATATTTTTATTCAAACTCTTGAAGACCAAAACGCCCAATTATTTATTCGAACTAATATCACGCCGGTCCGACGTACATAATATCAACATAAGATCAGATACTTTCAGCATTCCACATCATGTTACATCGAAATACGAAGGAAATTTTTCATATTTGGCACCATCTTGTTTGAATAAGTTCATTTCATTATTGAATTTGAAAGAGTTTCAAGTGAGATCTTAACTAAAAAATATTCTGATATCAAGTATAACAGACTAGTATAATAATTGTTACTTCTATTATACCTACTGTTCTCTTATTTTTTTTTTCATGTGTCAACCAAACTTATTAGATCATTTAATATTACTTACACTATTACAAAAGTATATTCCTTACATTTTGAAACTTGTACAAATTGAGAATATAGACTGCACTTTTTTGTTGTGAAATTGAATTTTAAGGGAGGGAGGTATATAGCCATAGGCTAACCCCTGCCTTTTGTGTGTAACATTGTTGTGCATACTAAACAATATAATTATTATTATTACAGTTTATCTGAGGACGACAAGTGGAGGGAAAGTGCATTCAAGGGCGTAAAACGGTTAATCTCGATTTCTGGCAAAATTTCAACACTTATGAAAGATGTTGGAAAGCAAAGTTGTAGGTGATAAAAAAAACTATTGAATACTCTTTTGATCACAGTTTCTTCACATAAACTCAGAATTATTGTGAAAAATTCAAATAGCCAAGTTTTCAATTTTCAATTTTCATCTTCTACAGAAAATGATGTTTTCCACGGAATTTGTTGAACACTCAACTCTTTATGTCTCAAAAACAAAGTTACTATCTTGATTTGGAGTATTCTTCAACTAATATATCCTGACATTTTATGAAAAGAGCACCCTAATTTTCAATCGAAAATTTTTGCTTAAATATATCTGCTCATTCTAAAAAGTCGGTCGGCTTTTCGAAATGTCTACCCTCTGATGGTGTTGAAGATATATGCATTACTATTGTAAATTTTCCCGAAAAATGCGAAAGAACAGAACTTGAATCCGGATTTTTTTATCATTCTGCACAATCTTGAGCTCTTCACTGAAAAATTGACACTAATCACTCGGAGAACTTGAGACTTCATGTAACATTGATAAACAGAAAAAATTCATAGCCATCAGTCAAAGAATGGGTCTGTTGCTCTTTCGTTTCATTGCATATCCTGAGAACATCAACAACAGTCATTTATATATTGTTTCACAGCTTCAGAAAGTAGAGATTTCGCTCTTTCGATATCCAGTCAAAATAAGGTAAGAATATCAATATTTTCAATGGAAAAATAACAGTGTATAGGGACATGAAGTGGTGAGTTTCAACCCAATTTCGTGAAAACACTATTTTTTGTTAAATATAGAAATAAAAAACCAGAAACTTGGTTTATTGAATCTTTCACAAAAATTTCAGAGTTATGTGGAAGAAGTGTTGGAATAAAAGTAAGAGACCTCTCCATTGCCCACAAGTTCGCTATTCTTTTTTTTATCAGGCTCGTAGTTTGGTCAGAAATCGGGATGAACTTCCCGACCTCAGATCGCTCGTAGTTGATTTCTCCTTCCATCTTTGTTATATTCTCTTTTTATTTCAATGGGTTCCATCCAACAATTTTTTTTTCACTTCTCACCGTTTTCAACAGCCTGTTTTATACTCTATGAATCATCCAAACTACGGAAGATGGATTGTGAGATTCAACTATGATTTGGTGAATGTAAAAACAATTCATCCTGGTTCGAAAGAAGTGTTGATTGAATGTGGAATTTCCATTAGAACAGAAACATCATCCTCTGGTATTCCCAACGACATCACCTTAGATTGAACAATGAATTGAAAAAAAAAAAAATGCAGATGCAGCAAATGAATTGATAGGTAACTATTCTCATATAAAAAAAAAAAGTCACGTTCAACTATTACGGAATTATTCTCGGTATCCAGAGAAATAGGTGCCTACTCAAATTGTATATCTGCTAAAAAGCGCTGGGCAGCAAGTCGTTCGTTACGAACATCTTTGGTGATACATATACTGAAAACACTGAATCTTAGTGCTGGTGAAGACGTAAGGAAAGGTCTTATTAGTCAGTAAATGAGGAAGGATAAAATATCGCTTGAAGAACTTGTTACCTGAATTTGCAATGGTCTGAATCAATTCTCATCTGATTCGATAAACGAAAATAAACTTGTGAACTTATGAACTGGAAAAAGCACAAGTGAGACAATAGAAACTCATCTTTCGAATATTGTTAAACTGAAGGGGAAACTTTTAGTCTAAGATCCGAACCTAAATCGACCTTCACCGAGCTGATAATAGAATGAAATATATTTTATCATGAATTTAGTATATTAGAAAACATATTAAAAATGGGTTCGCTAAAAAAATCCTGGGCAGATTATTTTTAATTATTTTTCGAAAAATGATTTTAAATTGTGTTGTGTTGTTCTTAACTTTAATTTTAATTTTAAGATTCAAGATTCATGTAATTAGGTTTCTAGGAACCTGTTTGTAATCTTCTTTAAATAAATGAATAAATAAATTAAATGTTGCAACATCAGGATAATAAAAAAAAATTGTCCTGACTGAAAGTATAAAACGTATAGAATGTGCAGCCGTTGGGTTGTCTACTATTTACCTGGGCGAACTACTGGGTTGTCAGGCAGACACAGGTATATCGATGCCAGTTACTTTCACTGGATTAGATAATTAAAAAATATTTCTATCATCATAAGCGCTGTTTAATTGCGAACACGTTGATATAGGGTTGTCTGCGAAAATTCCGGTCCTATTAGGGGTTTGCGAATTTTAATGATTTCAATTTCAACGCGCGTGGAAGTGTGTGACAGAGAGATCCGAGGTAAGTATACTGTGTAATAATGAAGGACCCAACATCGCAGTCTATCATTTTTGTTATTTCCTAATTTAAATTTTTGGCGGTCCACTTTGTTTCTATTCCCAGAAAGAGCAAAAAAAATTCAAAGTGAGTAATTGATATTTTTATTGTCTATTATAGATTATAGATATATTATTATGGTTATAACGCAATATATTGATATCATATTGTTTTTATATATTAGTATTACCTATATTAAAAATATCTAATTATTATGTAATTAATTAATTTTTTTTTGCTACTGAAATATCAGTTGCTCCAAAATAACACGCACTGTTTACTATATGAAGGGTAGTAGACGTACCTCTACCCTCCATAGTTTACACACCGAGCATGCGCACTTTCTACTATTCAGGGTCCCATCACAAGCGACTGCGATGTTGGGTCCTTTATTATTACACAGTATACTTACCTCGGATCTCTCTGTCACACACTTCCACGCGCGTTGAAAATGAAATCATTAAAATTCGCAAACCCCTAATAGGACCGGAATTTTCGCAGACAATCCTATATCAACGTGTTCGCAATTAAACAGCGCTTATGATGATAGAAATATTTTTTAATTATCCAATCCAGTGAAAGTAACTGGCATCGATATACCTGTGTCTACCTGACAACCCAGTAGTTCGCCCAGGTAAATAGTGGACAACCCAACGGCTGCACATTCTATACGTTTTATACTTTCAGTCAGGACAAATTTTTTTTATTATCCTGATGTTGCAACATTTAATTAAAAATCATTTTTCGAAAAATAATTAAAAATAATCTGCCCAGGATTTTTTTAGCGAACCCATTTTTAATATGTTTTCTAATATACTAAATTCATGATAAAATATATTTCGTTCTATTATCAGCTCGGTGAAGGTCGATTCAGGTTCGGATCTTCTACTATTTGAGGAATGCTATTATAGATGAATATGAAAATGATGCAAGTAGATTCGGGCAACCTATTCCGAGACAAGTTATCCATACATTCGCATCTGGAAATAATTTGAAAGTGAGAAAAACACATGGAAAAATTGCTGAAGTGGAAGTAAAACAAAATTCAATCTGAAGGATTCCCGCATTAGCGTTAGAACAAGAATTCGATTCATTGGGTGTATTTACGTTTTTATTGACCTCAGTTTCTGCAGCATTATGCCATTCCCATGAAAGTATGAACGGAATAAATTAATCAAAATCATTCAAATCATCAGGAGAGTGGGTGTGTACAATAATGCTGAGTCCGTCCTGTATCAATCCCGTTCACGTGGTGACATAACAGTTGACAGTTTTGTTTTTTGAAATAATTTGATA